AAAAAAGAAAATGTCAGCAGTGCCACAGTTGGCCATTTTTCTCAAAACAAAAGCTCTCTGAAAATCAGACAAATTTTGGCTCTTTTCCCTTAAAGGACTTGTCCAATAGATTTTTTTTCCTATGGATTGCTTTCACTATATGAATAAATTTTCCCAATGGTTTTTCATTGTCAAATGTTTCAGAAAAAATCAGTTAAATTAATGGAGTGTTCTTGGTTTGTTTTGGTACAGCAGTAAACAAAACATAATATAAGGCGAGTGTGTAGAAATTACACTTGCCAAGCCTGTGAAGTTTCATTTATTAACATTGTACCACTCTCAGACACACCAGTGTCTTGCTTCAACAGCAGATCCACTGTCTACAAGATGGAATAATGCAAGGAATTAATAAGAGTGGCACAGTTTTGCTTCCTATTTATAAGTCAGTGTTCTTATTCCCATGTGTTAGGTCTCTTCATATTTTTCAATATTTTTAGTAAACCTAAAATGGAAATAGATAATTTACACCAGTTGTATTCTGTTCACTTTTTTAAAAAATCAGCCCTCATTAAAAAGTATCAGTTTAGATTATGCATTTTCTTTTTTCAATAAGCAGAATTATCCTTTCCATAGGTGAGTTTGTTCACAGGTATAAAGAGGATTCATGTTTCATGTAGCCATTGGCTAGGGAAGGGAAAGAAGGCAATCTTAGCTAAGGAAACAGATGACAGATCAGCATCCATGTGTTTCTTGCTGCCAGCCAAAATGGAGTAACACTTAGTACTTTTGGTTTGGCCTACCAGACACTCTCAGTGTATTATACTTTAGCTTATTAATAAGGTTCAGCACAGAACAGTTTGTTTTGGTTTTTTTCTTATATTGTACTGATGAATGCTATAAAAGAAGGTGAATATGAATACAGGCTACATATTCTTTGTCATTGTTAGTACTACTTGCTGTTTTAACAGATAAAGCCTTTTTTTCAGAACATGTAGTGTAAAATTACCTAGGGTGGAGTATTTTAGTTAAACACACATTTGAGGACAAAAGGCTACTTCAGTTCTTCACTCAATGAAGAGATTTTTAGATTGCTGAGGGGATTTACAAATCTAATTCCTTTTCAAAATAGTGGCAAACTCACCCCACAGCTGTAATAGGAGTGTGAGAACTTTTAAAAAAACCAACACTATAGCACTGCTTTTTCAGAACATGACTAGCTATTATGTGTACTGAGTGGGTGACTGTTTTTCCATGTGATCATGACTTTCCAAGTTTCTATATAATCCTGATTTGAACAGCACAAGATCTCAGACACTGTTAAGTAATCAGGGTAACAGACAACCTTTTCTAAGAACCACTTCAGAAACCTCATCTTTATGCATACATGACTGAAGGATTTAAAAATTATTTTCCAATCCCCTACAATTCTGTTTCCATAAACTAAACCAGAATATTTTTTCAGAATACTTCACACCTGTACTTTAGATGGCGAATATTTCAACTAGTAGATATAGGACCTACTTAATACTGAAGCAGGGATGGCTACAACTTCACTCTGTCCTGGTTTTTGTAACTGTTACAAGCCCTGCCTTTATGCCTGCATGAAGACACTACAGAAAAAGGCTGAAGCAAGGTAGAGCTTTTTCCAAACAAGCTCTGTAATTTAAGAGTAAGATTTTAAAAAGAAATTGGGATTCATGTATTGTTTTTCTCTGTTAAGTAGTTGAGAATATTTAAAATGTCTAAAGGATTATTATACCTTGCTCAACAAAAACCATCTTTGCAGAAGTATCACTGACACACAGTGTTAGGTTGACTAAAATATCTGCAATGTGCCTTGTTCCTCAGTAGTAAAAGCATATCCGTATCAGCCAGTTTATAAATAGCAAATAATTGCTAGTGAAATGGTGATGCATTTGCAGGAGTATTTTTGTGACTTTCTGTGTTCATTTCAGGATACAAAGTTAATCAAAAAGTCATGAAAAATCTTCAGTACAAAATAAGGCCCCAGGTGTTGAGTTGACCTCTTAGACTGTCTTTCAAAGGATGATTCTTCATTTAAGCTTTAAAGATTGTGAACTAACCATTACCAGTCAGGGCAAAGGGAAGCTTTCTGCCACACTGCACGTCCAGTAGAAGGTATCCTTTTAATTGCACTCCATCGCTAAAGTTGCCCAGTATGTTGGAATCTATTCAGGCTCTTTAATGGAGCTGTTTGCCTTTTTTAATGCCTTTCCCCCATCTGCTTTACTTTCATGTGCCTGGGATTAGCATAAAGAATCAGACAGACTGCAAACTTGACAAATGTGTTATGCCTTGATTTTGAACTGCTGTGACAATCTGGGTTTGAAATATATGTTGTTAAAGCTACTGGGCTCTGTCCCGAGCTGCCCACCTGGTTATCCACCACTAGGCAGCAAGTATCTTTGAGTAGACCAGGCATGCTCAGCTCTAGGGGGGGAAGGGGAGGTTCTCTTTGATATAACTCAGCCATTACACCATGGATACAGAGTGTAACACACACAGTTGGATGAGGCAAGACTTTCATCTTTCATTTTTTACCTCTCAACAGTAATTGAAAAAATGTTAAGAAATTCTACAATAGCTTTTGCTTTTTGTGTTCCTCTCTTCCCTTCCACCCTAGCTCATTTTCACAGCTTAGAAATTTTACAAATAGCTCACACGCTTGCAAGGGCTGGGGGAGTAGTGAAGGTCCTGCCAAAACCATTTTGCAGCTGGGGAGGGAGGGTGAGGTGGCATTTGTTTACATCCTTCTGTTGAGAAGTAAAAACATTTTCCAAGCTTTGAAACAGTTGAAAGAGAGAACTCATCAGGCTTTCAGTGTTGCTGGTTTCAGGATTTTTTTATTTCCTATTCATGCACAGTATATCTGGGAACACTTGCTGGGTCTTGTTGGGGAGAGGGTCAGACACTGCAGATAAAAATGTACTGTCTGTGCGGACTCCACAACTATTTCTAGTCTTGCTCAATATGCAACTACTTTGATAACCTGGGCTTGGGGACTCACAGGAGCTCTGCTTTCCAAAGTTGGTCTCTCTCAGTTGCCTTGCAGGGGAATGCAACCTGTGTGGCAGGAGTTGTTTGTTTAGCAGGCATGCATGGGTTCCTCTCCCCATTTTAGGGGCAGGGAGAACAAATAGGGGGGAAGGGGACCCTGCTGCCTGGTGCTCAGCCTTACCTGGACATGTGCTCCCGCTGCGGTCTGTGTGCCTTCTCCAGCCCTAGTTTGGTGAAGATCCCCACCAGCACCATGACTGCCACAACCCCACAGATGATGTAGACAATGAGGTTGGTTTTATCCCTGGTAGGGTCATGCAGAGGGTCGTCTATGCGGGAAGGAGGCTTCCCAGTGTTCATCCATAACGGCGTCTCATAGTTTGTGCAGGTACTTTGATCCAGCCTCGTCTTTTTGAACTTACAGCAAAACCTGAAGCCACAAGTGCCACAGCAGAAGATGAACTCCCCCGAACTGCAGTTAAACGGGGGGTCCCACTGCCCCATCACGTCAAAGTAGCCCCTGCAGAAGTCCGGGGTGGGAGGTGGCTCGGAGGAGTCTAGCTGTTCCCCAAGGCTGGAGTGGTTTCCTCCTGAGAGCACCACGAAGCTCCCCAGCTGCTGGCCAGCTTTCTCCTGTGCCC